TGAGTTTGGTCTGCCTCCCCAGACAGCTGCTTCCCCTTTCCCCAGGATATTGCCGGAGGGGACTGGGTCCATCAGAACTAATTAACTACTCTAATGGAAGGAACCAGTTTTTCTGGAATTTAGCCCAGATGGGTGGAATCTGTACTTTTCTAGATGGAGAAATGCTGAATGCCAAGAAGTCTTGCCAGCTGGGCTCTGAGCTAAGGTGTATGAGGGGGTCGGGGGTGCTCTCTGGGCCGAGGCTGGGTCCCCAGCCCAGCAGCCTTAAGCAAGGAAGCCACCGATGGACAGGTCCACTCAGCTGGCCTGGTCCTGTGATTCCCATGAATGCTGTTTTACATGCAGAGGCTACGTGGGCCCCCACATCACCCTCTGTCCTGGGCCCAACCTCCCAGCTCAGTCTCTTAGTTCACTGCTGCTGCTTAGGCCTGAAGTTCCTCCAGGGGAACATGTCTGTGAGCTGGCACCCAGGTCCCTTCTAGCTCTATGACTCCGAATCCATGGTTTTTGAGGCCCTGTGTCCTGGCCAGGTATGAGCTTCCGGTTTCTTCTCTTTAAAAGCTGGGCCATCAAAGGCCACCTTTAGAGTTCCCCAGAGCCCCAAATACAACTTCACCCTGCCTTCAGCCCTCAGGCAGAGCCATTCTACTGACCTTCACAAGGTCTGGGTTGCTCTGGGCTGTTCTCTGAGGCTGGGTTCTCCCCAGACACCCCACCCACCACCCCTACAAGGCTCTCACATTTGATGTGGAGCCTGCAAATCTCTGCAGGCTGGGTGCGGTCGGGTGGGAAGCAGGATGGAATGAGCTGAGAAGCAGACAGGAGGCTGCCAGCCTTCTCTTGTCCTTCCTTCTCTTCTCCCCCATGAAGGAAAAGGCCCTATCACCCTCTGTCCCGGTGATGATGTCTGATAAAGTAATTCGATTACCTGGGCTGGGAGAGAGCAAGGCATGCTGGGAAAGGATTCTAGCTCCTTGGCCTGGACCTGAAGGAGGAGGGGTCAGTCCCTGACAGGAGCTGGAATGCCGCAAGGGAAGGTGTGTACACCAGTGGACAGGACCTAGCCTTGGCAGCCATGGGGCCTGCTCCCAGGCCTGGAGGCCCTCAAAACAAGGAGGGTCCAAAGAAGGAGGGTGGAGAGGAGACTGGGTGGTGTTGCTGTCCCAAAGATGCTGAGCCCACATAATGCCCCCAGTGGGAAGAGGGGAAGGGTAAATGCATTCAGAGCGAGGGTCTTATTGGAGGGGCTATAGAAAGTCTACAGGTGCTCGACAGCCCCCGTCAGTGCCACTCTGGAATAGCCATGGCCCTCTCTTCCTGTTCTTTTGTCATATCCTTGTTCCCGGTGAGGGAAACCCACTGTGGCTGATGCTCCTCGTGAACTAGCTCTCAGATAGATGCTCTTCTCTGACAACCAGAAGAAACCAGGGCACCAGGACAGGAAGGTGCAGAAAAGGTGAGAACGGGGGAAAGAAGCTCGGGGAATTAGGAATTGCCAACTGTGGCTGCTTTGTGGTCTTGTTAAGCCTGTCAGTTATCAAGGTCTTGGAGGAATGGAGGAGAGAGTAGGCAGAGTCCTGGATGGGAGCGTCATGCTAGGAAAGATATTCGAGGTCCTGGAATCAACAGGAGGCCCAGAATCAGTTGCCACCCCAGACCATCTGCTCAGCATCACAGCCCAGAGCTGAGGGTGAGGTCCCGAGCCAGGATGTCCTGGCACCACCAGGGGGCAGCACCCTCCCATCCACAGTGGGCTGTCACACAGCCAGCTGGGCCGGGGGTGGTCCCCTCCTTCCTGGGCTTTGAGTTTTGGGTATATAGCATGGCCTCACACACAGAGAACTGATGGGATAACCCCCATGATGCCAACTGCAGCACACTGACTCCCCCAGAAAAATCTAGAAAGGCCCAGGTAATAGGTTAGTCCAAAGCTCTAGAATAAAACCTTAAGCAAGTAGTGAGGCCTACTCTGGAGGCCTCTGGCCTGAGGCTGAGCTGTCCTCTCCAGGAGTGCTGAGCTGGGCCCTGGCCCCATGCACCTTCACCTGGCTGCCTCTCCCAGGCTGGGCCCTCTGTTTTCATCACCTCTTCCTAGGTTGCCCTGCCCCCACCCCAGCTCTCTGCTCTCCCTTCCTTCCCTCCTGGCCTCCTTTTACCTGGCAGCTTTCTCCCTCCACCCATCTCCACAGGTGCCCAACAACCAGGCACAAGCACTGCAGAATGCAAGTGCCAGTCAAGCAGATTTACTAGGAGCAAGTGACTCTGTTTTATTCGCCGATGTTTTTCCAGTGCCTGGAACAGCTTCTGGGACGTAGTAGGTACTCAATAAATATTTACTGAACAAATAGATGTATCAGGTGTAGGATACTGTGATGTTTTTCCCTCGCCTACTCCACCTCCACCAACCTCTCCCCTTGCTCTGAATACCTGAGTTCAGCCAGCCTGACGAATGGAAAGCAGGGGAGAGACCCCAGGGGAGTCCAAGGACACAGACCAGACAGGACTTGAAAGTTTATCATTACAGCCAATTCTTCAATGTCCTGTGGTTCTTTCATCTTCACTCCAGCTTCTGGCCAGTCTTGGCTCTTCTCTTCCCAGTCACATTTGGGATATTTCTTTTTGCTGCAGCAAACTCAAAGCCAGCTAAATCCTGACATGCAGACATCAGGTTTAAGGAGCAGGAGCTGGGCACAAAGGGGGCTCCAGCAAATGTGTGTTTCTGACTCAGTCTGGGATGGGCCCCACCTCCCCAGCACGTTAGTGCAGATCACCAAAGACAGACTGTCATTTGGTTTTCTCACCTCACTGATGATGGGAATCTTGCTTATAAAAATCCCTTGCATTTGCATTGGGCTTTTAATCTTTTCTGAGAGCACACACAGGTCCTTGTCTTATTTTTCCCCTGGATAGCTAAGTACTGCCTGATCTGGAAATCAACTGGTGCACGAGTGTCCAAGACAGGTGTGTCAGTCACCTTGCATTTCTGCCTTAAAATCCGCCTTACATCATCCATACAGACGTGGAGGCTGCCCGAAGCTGTAAAAAAAAAAAAAAAAAAAAAATTGAGGATTAATTTAAAGATATAAAAGAGGTTCTGGACTTAAAAACAAAAACAAATGAATCTGGAAATTGTTCTTGGGATAGGGCCAGTAAAGTGTGGTTGGTGCCTAATGTTCGGGGTATGGCAGCTTCTCGATCACTAGCGAACAGGTTCAGAGGCAGGCACTGTGGGAGCCGTCACGATGAAAAAGCACAACGGCCAGGAGGAGCGCAGGGTCAGAGAGGCGAGAGGACATAAACACAGGCAAAGTCAAATTACAGTGAATGGAACAACTCCCTGTTGCAGGAGGAGGTCACAAGGCCGGACACCAGCACGTCCTATGTGCCCCCAGGGCAACGATGAGCCAGGGCTTTAACCCAACGATCTCATAGGCCACCCACCCCACACCCGTACCATATTTGTGGTGGACAACTCCGAGGCTACGGTTTCCTTCCACCCAGCCCAGGAGCCGCTTCTCTGCCCAAGGCTGACCGGTCCCCCAATTCCATTGCAGGGGCTTTGCCGACTGTTTCAGAGGCAGAAAGCGTCAAGACTGTGGGCGTCGTGGGCCCCGTCCAAGGCGCAGGATGGGGTGGGGTGGTCAGGAGGCCCCAAAACGGTGTCTGGGGAAGGAGTGGGCAGCCGCCTCCTCACGACACCGTCTCTCTCTTTTTCGTCGCCGGCCTCCAGTCAGCCGCTTGAAACGGCAGCAATGCGACCAGCTTGGCGGCGAGGGGGCGACGGACGCAGCAAGAAGCAGCGGGCGGAGGTTAGAAGTCAGGAGTCGAGATCGCTTCGGGGTCACCGGGGCTGCAGTGGGAGGAGCTGCGGGCTCCGGGGAGGCGGGGAGCGAGGCGCGGGAGGGGACGGTGGCGGAGGCGCGCAGGGGCGGTGCGCTGGGCCGGGCGCCGGCGGCGAGCGGGTTACGCGCTTCGGCTGCGCTTGGCTCCGCGGAGGAAGGCAGAGCTCGGCCGCCCGGGCCCCGCAGCGAGCCGAGTCGGCCCCGCGCCGCGCCCCGCCCACCCCGCCCCGCGAAGGGCGCGCCGGGGCGAGGCGGGGCCGGGAGGAAAAGGCGCCAGTGGAGCGTGGCGTCCGCTGCCATCGCCAGAGGGAGACCGAAAGCCCGTAGAGCCCCAGCCCACCAGTGCCGAGGCGCCCCCTCCCCTAGGCCACCTCGCGCCCGCCCCCTGCCGCGAGCCAAGGCCAGCGCCCCGCCCGGAGATGGGCAGACGCGTAGATGGCGTGGCTCCCGGCGCCGCCAGATCGCAGGAGCCCGGCGCCGGGGCGTTGCGCTGAGGCTCCCGCTCCGCGCGGCCCGGGAAGCCTGCAGGTGTCCTTGGCCGCTCGGCCGCCGCCCGGGAGACTCCTTCGCCAGCGCGCACAGCCCGGCTCCCCGGAGCGGCCCCGCCCCCCCGGCTCGGCGCCGCGCAGGACGCCCCGTCTGAGGCCCCCCCGCCCCAGCGCGGCCCCCGCAGCGCTGCGCCAGGCCCAGCGCAGCTCCCGGCCGTGGACGCAGGACCCGAGGCTCGCTCCTGCAGGCGCGCTTGTTTTCCAGCTGCCGCCTGGCCCTGTGCAGCCCCCGCCCGCCTGTCCGCCGCGTTAAGCTCGGCCCCGCCCGCCATCCTTGTCCTGCGCTGGATTTATGAATGGGGGGAAGAGGCCACATGCCGCCGCCGCCGCCTCGTGTCGACTGCACGCAGCCCAGGCCCGCGGAGCTCCGGCTGCCGTGAGAGCGTTGGCCCGGTCCCGGCAGCCGCTGGGTGGACTTGTTGCTGCTGCGCTGCCGCCGCGGGAAAACCGGTTGCTCCCGGGGCTCGGTGCGGTCTGGGAGCCAGCGGGTGGCCCGTGTGAGTGTGAGCGCGCGCGCCCCGGACCCTCGCAGTGCGCCCGGACTGTGCGCTTCCTTGTCTTTTAGGGGGTGAGGGGCGTGTCCCATCCTAGCAGGGGACCGTGTTGTGATTGCCTCTACCTCCCCGGCCCCTCGCTTGGGTCCTCGGCTCTCGCCTCCCGCCTCCCGCCTCCTCTCCGGCGCTGCCTGCCCTAACCCCAACCACCTGTGCACCCAAGAAATCCAACTCCTCCGGCTCCGCGCCCCGGGAGGGTAGGCAGGGGGCAGGGCCACGCCGCAGAGGGGGCCGCCGCCGCCTCCTGCCTCCTCCTCGTCTCCTCCCCCTCCCCCGTCTGACGCTGCCTACTCGGGAAGGGTGTTTGGAGGGCAGCGGCCGCCCCAAGCCGGAGCCCCGCAGCGCTTCTTATGATCAGCTCGGTGTGTGTCTCCTCCTACCGCGGGCGCAAGTCGGGGAACAAGCCTCCGTCCAAAACATGTCTGAAGGAAGAAATGGCCAAGGGCGAGGCGTCGGAGAAGATCATCATCAACGTGGGCGGCACGCGACATGAGACCTACCGCAGCACCCTGCGCACCCTGCCGGGCACTCGCCTCGCCTGGCTGGCCGACCCCGACGGCGGGGGCCGGCCGGAGACCGATGGCGGCGGAGCGGGTAGCAGCGGCAGCAGCGGCGGCGGGGGCTGTGAGTTCTTCTTCGACAGGCACCCGGGTGTGTTCGCCTACGTGCTCAACTACTACCGCACTGGCAAGCTGCACTGCCCCGCCGACGTGTGCGGGCCGCTCTTCGAGGAGGAGCTCACCTTCTGGGGCATCGACGAGACCGACGTGGAGCCCTGCTGCTGGATGACCTACCGGCAGCACCGGGACGCCGAGGAGGCACTTGACATCTTCGAGAGCCCTGACGGAGGCGGCGGCGGCCCAGGGCCCAGCGACGAGGCTGGCGACGATGAGAGGGAGCTGGCCCTGCAGCGCCTGGGCCCCCACGAGGGCGGTGCGGGCTCGGGCGCCGGGTCTGGGGGCTGCAGAGGCTGGCAACCCCGCATGTGGGCGCTCTTCGAGGATCCCTACTCCTCTCGGGCAGCCAGGGTGAGTGTAGCAGCCCGGGTCTCCCCCTTTTGGGTCTGCAAGGGTCGTATGGCTGTGATGGGTAGGGGCGGGGAGGAGCCGGAGGAGACTTACCACAGCAGGTTGTTCCCGCCTCCCTCCCAACTCCCCTCCATGGCTCTCAGGGGAATTACACACTCCCACCCTCTCCCCTGCACGCTCCATCAGGAGATTGCACACACTTGACTTACTACTTGGACCCAGTCCCAGCTGCCTGCTTTGCCGCATCCCCTAGCAGTGAGTGGGGTGCCCTTAGCTCAGCTCTTCCACCCTCTTCCTTGGTCTGCACAGGCCACCCAATCTTCAGCTCTCTCCACTCCTCCACAAGACCACAGTCCTGGGCAGCTGGAATTTGGCCTTCTGCTGGGGACAGATAACTGGGGTGTGTTGTGTTAGATGCTTCCATGCTGGGCCACCTCATTTAAACCCTCCCAGCAGCTCCGTGTGCTGGCAACTTAGCATTTTAGAGAGGGGGGCAGAGGCTTCAGCATCTTTAGCTTGTAAGAGGCAAAGCTGAGGCCAGAACCCAGCCTCCTGTCCAGGCTAGGAGAGACCTCCTTTCTTCCAGGAAGCATGCCATGTCCCAAGGCTTCCTGTACACCTGTGATGTCCTGGCCTCAGCTGGGATGAGAGGAGATTTAGACAGAAAGGACTGAAAGGATTTGTTCTGTAAAATCTGGATTCTGTCAAAAGGCTGCACTCAAGGATCCAGAAGGCCATATATGGCCTCGAGGCCTCAGGTTCCTCACCCCTGGTCTAGGCCCTTCAGGCTCCCACAGCCAGTGGCCAGCCACAGGCTTCCTGTTGATACCAGATTTGTTGCTGCTTCTTTTCCTTCTGCTGAAGCAGAAATTGGCTTCCCAGAAATCCTTGATTCAGGTTACTGCTTGAGATGGGTGTATGGGGGGGGGCAGGAGGAAGCACAGGTTGATTTAGGCAAGATCTAGTCCCTTCCCATCACCCCCTCCCCAAATTAATCCAGTTTCCCTTTTTTCTAAATGAGTTTTATTTTTTTAAATTTCAGAATATTATGGGGGTACAAGCGTTTTGGGTTACATAAATTACTTTTGTACAGTTTGAGTCAAAGTTGTATCGCTCAGATCCAGTTTCCCTTAACACCATTAAGTGAAAGGGGGTGGTAGGGGGATGCCCCATTATGCTTGGGCAGCTTTGGAAAAAAAAAAAAAAAACCCTCTAAGGATGGCTTTAGATTCTTTATAAAAAGAAAACCCCAGGGGTTGGGTTACATAAATTACTTTTGTACAGTTTGAGTCAAAGTTGTATCGCTCAGATCCAGTTTCCCTTAACACCATTAAGTGAAAGGGGGTGATAGGGGGATGCCCCATTATGCTTGGGCAGCTTTGGAAAAAAAAAAAAAAAAACCCTGAAGGATGGCTTTAGATTCTTTATAAAAAGAAAACCCCAGGGGCTGGTGTTTGATCTCAAGGCTGGCAGCCTAAAGCCTGACTGGGGTCTGTCTGGGAGGCAGGAAAGAGCAATGTAATTTGTTGGTCTGGGGACCGCTTCTTGCTATGGAAGCTGGTTGTACCTCTGGCATCCTAAGTTGCCATGTTAATAAGTCTCAGTAACCCCACCCCTCAGCCTCCCTGTGCTGGGCCTCATTCTGGTCATGAAAGGAAAAGTTCCATTTCTCTACCCAGGGGAGGGCAAGGGCTTGGGGAGTAGGGCTTCAGGGAGGAGCCAGGCTGGCATAAATGCCAGACTAGAGCAGACGCATCTGCTGCCTGGAAGACGAGGGAGGAGCAGAGGTCTCAGGGCCATAGGATACCAAGCTTGGGCTGCAGGCAGCCACTAGAAGGCGGGGATCTTTTTGGCGACAGAGAGAAGTTAGAGTTCAGCTGCCTTGGTTTCTTTCCTTGCAGCCCTGAGACCAGCTCAGAAGGTGAGGGCACAGTAATGCCCCTGGCCTGAGTCTGCTATGAGTTCCATGGGCTTCTCGTTCACTAACGCTGCTAGTGTTAGTGCTTGGCTGTCTGCACGAGGGGAGGGAGACAAGCACAAATAATGCAGACTCTTTCAACGTTGGGGGTGGGGGAGGTGGGTTTAGCTTGATAGAGTCGGGGAAAGGGGACAAGCCAGGGGTGGAGGAATGAGATGCGTTGGTTGGGAGGCCCTATTTCTGAGCATTCTAGGATCTCTGGGGACTTTACAATTGCTCAGGTTCTTCCCCTCTGGGATTCCAAGGGGCTGTACCATCAGTGAGTTTATTTTCTCAACTCACTGCAGAATGGCCTCTATTTGAGTAAGCCCAGAGCCTGGCCTGCCCTTTGGAGTCCTCCAAGAACTCAAGATCTTTTGCCCTTTTAATGTGGAATCTTCATCAGCCTGGGCATTTCAGTGTAGGTCTTAAAAGTTTGTGGTGGGGCGGGGTTAATTCTTTCATTTAAACACTGAAGAAACAAAGATTTGTCAACACATTTAACCAATAGCAGAGTCTGCAGCCAACCCCTGGTTTCCGGCCTTCTGGTTGTTAGCACTGATGTGAATAGCCGTATGGGGCGCTGGCTGGCACATGCCCCAAAAGAGGACTTGCCGCCTGCTTAGGAACACAGGTGAAGGCAAGCCTTCAGCTGCTCCTGGGACGTACAAATGGGAATACATAAGTTTTAAAAATGAATTAGTAACTGCTATTTATTAAGCACCCCATGCAAGTACTTTGCAGTATATGCTTTAATCTCTAATCCTCCCAATAAACTTAAAACAGGGCCGTTATCCCCACTTAACAGATCGAGGCTGTGAGACAGTAAACAACTTGCCTGAGATCTCATAGCCAGAGTGGCCGGTTTTGAATCAAAGCCAGAGTCTCTGACTCCCAAGCCCTTGCTCCTGCAATTACAGCATGTTCTTTCCACTGAACTAGGCTGTTTTCGAGGTGAAGAGGTGGCTCATTTCCTACTCTGGCCTGAGAGGTGTTTAGAGGTTCTGTACCCCCTGTGGATGGCATCAGAAAACCCTGGGGCAGATGGAGATGTCAGAAGGGACACTTACTCTGCTATTCCTCCAGGCCTGAGGGCACACTGCTGTGATGGGAGTGCTGGGACTGTGCTGTCCCTCCTAGCCCAGCCTGGTCCCTGGCTCCCAGGGGACTGCTGCGGAGTGGTGAGCTAAGGAGGGCGGAAGAGCAGCGCTGTTGTGTTCCAGCACACAACACGGTCATCTGAGTAGTGTGTTGTGATGATACAAAGAGAGCTGAGCTGGTGACGAGAGCCTGTTGCCCGGCTCAGGCCCGCTCCGACTGGGATGCTCACCCTGCTCTGTTCACCGCGGCCGGCCTGGGGCAGCTGCCGCTGTGCTTCTGAGCTGGGGGCAGGCCTGAGGGGAAGACCGATCCTGCCCCCACCTTCCCACTGCCTGGGGCATAGTGAGTGCTCACCAGGGTGGCTTCCCAGCTTGAGGGGGAGCTGTGGATGTTTGGCAGCACCCAGAGCTTTAGAGTCATGCCTTCCTCCTTTTCTGAGAGCAGACAGGAGGCATGAAGAATGGGGCCCTGGGACACTCCCCTCCCCAACCCCAGTTTCCAGAGGTCTCAGAGGCTGGGCCGGCTTTAGTTCAGTGATCAGCCTTGTTAAGGATTATAGTCCTTTGGCTAAATCAGTTGATTTTCCCACGATGTTTCCCTTGTGAGTAGAGGAAGTGACCCACAGGACCCCCTGCTCCAGGAAGGCAGCTAGAGCTGGGTCCTCGCCTTTGTTAAGCGGCCACCGTGTGTCTGGTGCCTGACCTACGCTTTGTACTACTAGCTCATCTGGCCCAGGCGAGGCAGGGATCATTAACCTCAACTGACAAATGAGGACCCCGAGGCCCAGTGGGGCTTGCTCAAGGTGGCACAGCTGATGGAAGAACTAGGATCCAAGCCCGGGTCTCATGAGTCCAAGTCTGTGCTCCTACCACTGCCTCCCTCGGCTACTGGCCAGAGAGGGCCTCTGGCTTCCGGAGGGCTCAGAGCGCAGCCTTTCACTTGAAAGCTTCCTCCTCCACTCTCCTCCCATCCCTTCTGTCACTTCTCCACACTCCCCAGAATTGCTGAAGTCTGACCTCTCTCTCTCTTTTTTCTCACCTTGGGTCTCTCATAGGAAGAAAGAAGGGAGGCTTTGTTAGGAGTGGAAGCTAGGATTCCCCCACCCAGGCAGAGGAAAGAAACCAAGGCCTTCTAGGAAAGAAATGAGGGCTTCGTTCCTGCCTCCCTTCCTGAAGTTTCCCTGGCTTCTCTGGTCCAGGCACTGCCTGGGGCCCTGGGCAGTGATCATGACAGACTTTGCGGTGATGGGGACTCACTGGTCCTGGTGCCCTCTGAGCTGGTTGAGCAGGAACCTGAGCCCAGGAGGCCTGTGTCCTGGAGGGGAGTGCCAGCCTGCCCCAGGCCAGCAGCCCCTCTGCCTCCTTCCTGAGGGCAGGAGGGGGCCCAAGCCTCCCTGCAGATCCTACCCTCAGGCAACCTCCCAGTTTCCTCCTGGATGTGTTTTGTTTTCCTCTCTCGTTCTGAACAGACCAACATTTGCCTCTGAACATCTTGTCTCTGGATGATGAGGTGTTTCTGTTTGTCAGCATTTGGGGTGGGGTGTGGAGTGGGGGAGGGGATAAAATAAACCTGGGCGATTTTGGAGCATGGGGGGAAGCACAGTGAGGAGCAGAGTCAGGCAGCTGGGCCTTGGGAGCCGGGAGACCCCCGGGCCCTTCACCTCCACCCATGGGCAGTATCAGCCTGGAATGCTGGGCACAGGGCATTGCGCCACTCCTGCGCCCTGGGTACGACCAACCTCTGGCCCGGCTCCCTGCTGTGGTTTTCTTCAGGCTAGCGGGTGGTGATCACCAGGTGGGGGGCCTCACCAGGAAGTGCGCCTGTGCCACCCCAGAGAGCAGCGAAAGTCCCAGGGCCCCAGTACCTGGAGGTGTTACTGGGCACACCTTTGTCAGTGGAACTGATCTCTCCTCATGACAGGCTCACCAGGACCAGGTCGCCT